CCTAATTATGTATCCAAGGAGTTTTTAAGATTTATTCACAATGTTTTCATAATGCTGTACAAATGCTAAGTTTGTCTGGAAGTAGACGCCAAGATCCTTGTATGTGCTTTCTCTGCCTAGCTGTACATTTTCAATCGTGAATGCAAAATTTATGTATTGTTTTTTACGTGTAAAATTAAAATATGGCATTTGTCGATATTTAACGTGAAACCAATTGGATCCCAAATCTAAATCCTCCTGTAGTTGATGACAAGCCTTAGATGATGTTATGGGCTTAAATATTTTAAGGTCTTCAGCGTAGAGGAGGCATTCTGAATCGTTTATGCAGTTTGGTAAGTCGTTGATGAAAATACAGAATAGCAAAGGACCAAGGTTAGTACCTTGCGGCACCCCAGATGAAGCTATGTATTCGTTTGATAGTGATCTGTCAACCTTTACCTGTTGAAGTCTCATGGTAAGATAAGATTCCATAAATTTACATGCAGTTGAAGAAAAACCAGATCTACCCAGTTAAGTTACCAACAGACCATGGTCAACCCTATCGAAAGCTTTGGCACGATCTGTAAACACAACATCCAACTGTTGTTTATTATTTATAGCCTCAGCTGCTGCCTCTGTGAAGATGCTCAAATTGGTAACAGTTGAGACACCTGGCAAGAAACCATTTTGTTGAAGAGCAAAGTCGTTCATACACGAGTTCAGAATACCTTGATACAATACGTCTTCAAAAATCATTGAAGGAGCATCACGAACAGTGATAGGCCTGAAATTTTTAACTGAACTGACATCTCCTGACTTGAATATTGGAGATACAGATGCATTTTTAAATTTCTGTGGGAATGTGTCTATCCTTAAGGACAGATTGAAAATTGTCATTAATGGGGCACTCAATATATCTGAACACCCTTTGTAAAAATATGAAGGGATGTTATCATTACCAGTTGCTTTTTTTGGTTTTAACCTTCTGATACTTGCTTTAACTTGCGTCTCGGTCACCTGGGAGAAGGTGTAGTCACTATTACATATATCAAAATTTGGTTTCTCAGACTGTTGAAATACTGATACAAAATAGAATGCAAATGTATCGGATATCTCCTGGGAACCACTAAAGGCACAACCCTTTTTCATAACCTCTGAAGGAATACCAGTCTTTACACGCTTAGACCTTGCGAAGACCCAAAAAGCTGCTACGGTCATTGTTGACATTATGTTCAATTGTCTCATAATAGGCCTGACATTCTTTTGCAGTTTGGGTATCGCTTGGTCTAAACATCCATAAAGCTTTCCATAGAATAAGTCAGTACATGTATTCACATCTTCAGCTTTCTGACGATCTAACCAGTCCGCATCTTCTAACAGATTGTATAACTTATAAAAATCTCCTTTCGAGTAATCATAGATATATTCAGGCAGGCTGTAAACATTACTAGTCATACTGATCGTCAAGACCATCTATCATATATTCCGTCTTTTTAGTGTGGATTCTCAAAACTCAATTGCTATATTCGTCAAAGATTTTCTATTGATACTACCATAAGACTAAACTTCTTTCTCCATGCGTTCAAAACATCTTCCAAGTATATTTTGAATAATAAAGGGGCCAGCGTGCAACCCTGCCGCAGTTCTTACGAGGATTTACCTGATGAATATCCAATAATTAATGAACATTGTTGCAGACATAAATCTGGTGTCCAAACCATAGGCACACGTGTGTTTGTATATGCTATCAGTTGACCAAAACCGTGCGATATGCTGGAAGCAGACCAAAACAAAAAAACTCAAGTTAGTCAATAAATCACAGTACCCTGAAGCTAAGTTCACATTAGTGCCCTTTTCTTTTCTCCGTCGCCTGCAGAATCAACATGACCTTGAGTTTCCTTGTAAAGGTCACAAAGACAATCAAACAAGCATGAGACTTATCTGTGCGCTTGTGAAGCGAGCTGTTCTCTTGAGTGAATTTTTTGAATTCCCGAACATCTTGTGTCAGATACATGTCAACATATAAAAATAAGCTTGCCCTCAAATTGACCATGGTCAAGATCCACATTCCTAAAACATTTTTAGATGAATTACTTTCTTCAGTATAACAGAGTATTTGGTCCGAGTACTATAAACGGGACATTCACCATTTTTGCAGATCGGGCAAAATTCCTCAACCTATTTTTCAGAAACCAATAATAATATGATTGCTTTGGTTCAACGAGAACTTTTGTTCAGGAAGGCGAGGACTATATTATACTCAATTTTCAAATTGTCTGGGGTTGTCCATTGGTTTTGTGTGGGAATTGTTCTTGCTCCCTTCATGTCTTTACAAGTATTGGTAAAGATACACTGGAGAAGGTCTTATTGGTCCTATGGAATGGCTGAAGTGGAGCTAGTATCTCATTTCTATATAGAGGATAACATAACTGACAACCTGGCAAATGTAATAATTTAAAATGTTAAAATAAAACTGTTAAAATTTTCAAGAGGTTTCGGCCTGTGACTTGTTTTCTTTAACTATGTCGAAAATAGTTATTTTAGGTAACTTGTAGCTAAATTTAAAATATTTTTGTTTCTGTATTATGTTATTTTATCTGAATAAGATGTCAAGTACGTCTACTTCTACTGGGACAGTTAGTTACGAATGCAGCAACGTTTACCTAAAAACATGAATATGAATAAAATCTTCTATTGATATTTTGATCACCAAATATTTTCATTAAATGCGGATCTTCAAATCTTAAGCTTACCAGGCAATACGCTTCGGTTCAAGAACCATAGTTTTTGTCTGCTCAATGATATATCCGTGGAAAAACTTAGTAATAATGGTCAACCAAGCAGCAACATCTAGTACTACAGATATTTCTGGAAAGTAGGGCATATTCATCTGCATCGATGTTGATGAAGCAGCACTTATCGGCTTAACTACGAGTAACACCAGGTTGAGAAGCAACTGCCACATGTCAAAATACACGCTACATAAAAAGAGATATTTATTTTTTTCTGAGAAAGAAATTCGTTTTCAAAATTCTCCAATGAAGTAATGAACTAATGCATTTCCAGTCATGTAAAATACAGTCGTTTCTAGATGGGGGACAATAGTCCAAAGAGACCATTCTTTATATTTTGTACGCAGCCTACTAAGATCACTTGCTTTACTCTCCACGAGATTCATCAAATAAAAATATGCAAAAGTATCAGGAGTGGAGTATAGGGATCAGCTCTCGTACCTTAGCCTGGTAACGGAACACAAAATTTTTCCAAAACCTCACAAAAATTGTATAAACGATGAAAATTTGGGCTTAGGTAATTGAAATAGCATAACGAAAAGTTCCGGATCCTACCGTAGCACAGTGGCATATAACACTGAAAAAGCTGGAAGAAGGTCAAAAATGAAGTAATGAAAATGGATGAAATTCATCATGTATTTGAAAGTTGATACTTGTAATAATTTTTTAGATCAGGTAAACATCTCTTTGAAGAAGTTTTTCGAATTTTGCACTGCTCTTTGGTGCGGAGAATTTTGGAGTACAACACAGTGGTATGGTCGTCAAATTTAGTTGGTGACATTCACTCCAGCTATTAAAATGGGTCGGAGTCAGAATAATAATAAGTACTTCGAATATCGACTCCTTAAAACAATGCTGGGGATTTTTTTTAATACATGTCATTTGCCCATACTATATAAATACATTCAGATATTAGTGACGGTACCAGCTATGGACCATATTACTTGAAAAACATTAATAAAAAAAGTTACTACTGGTACTCTGCTCCTTTAGACTACAAGTCAGGCACACAAAAATAACTGGCAGTCGCCAGCTTTCAAGCCGGTAGTTACATTTCTGCATGTTTAATATAAAGTATGTTTTCAAATTCTTACTCAAAACTGTTCAAAATGAAACAGGGTTGACATTTTTAGAAAAATGTTGTCATTTTTTGTAAATTTCTCCGAAATATAAATATTATTTAAACAATATAACATGTACAACCTGTTTAGTGCCTTCAAGGGAGAATATTTCCTCAAGCTGTTAGTATAGTAGTAGAACTTTGTTGTACTATATTTTGTTTCCTAAAAAGTAGACACTTTAAAAATTCGTTGCTCGCCTTGAGATACGTTTTTCCACAAGATACATTTTTTGCAGCAATTTCAATATATACACGATAGAATTCAGCATTTTTTCTACACGTTGGTTGGTAAATGACTCAACCAATTATTTTATGAATCAGATGGCCCAAAAATCCCGCATACGAGCATTTACGCGTGGCCTCATGACAGCTAACGAAAATTGACTTGAAAATATCGTAGACACAACTCTTCTAGCTTATCCATCAAGTAGCAAAACTGCCTTGACAACTATTTTCAATTTATCATATTCACAGTAAGGTAACAGTAAATTAAAAATCAATAAGTTAAATAAAATCAGTTCCTGTCTACGGTATAATCCGGAACTTTTGGTCATGCTAAAGAATAATATTTCAATAACCCAAATCCAAGTTTTCACCTACTTTAAAATTTTTGTTAGGTCAAAAGTGTTCATTCACTGGGCGAAAACTGTTGAAAGTCAATATCAATGTCAAACTTTCCCAGATGAACCAGGGTAATTGTTTACGAGGTTGCATCATAGGTTTAGTTTAAATTCAAATATCCTGGGTTATCCCGATGGGGAGGCAAGTTTTTGTTTTACACAGCTTAGTGAGAAGTGGAATATCTGAGAAATCGAACAATACCTATATGTAGCTCAATAAACAATGTCTTTGAAGTTTTTGAAGCTATTCTGTAGTTCATTAGAAGCAAGGAGTCTTATATCTTAACAGGAGGTTGTGATTTTAAGCAGTCTTGTATTGTCCTTTCTTAGGCTAAGTCTAATTCATGCTGATTAGTTGCCAAGAAACACGAAATAGCGGCCCATGGTTGGAAGGATTGTTTTCCAAAATTTTATTTGTCTTGCATCATTCAAGCAAGTGGTAACTTTTTGAATTGTCGTCCAGTGTTCTGGAACCACCATTGATCTTACCTGAGTTTGCTCAGTGGGTGAACAATATACCAGTATCCCAATTCAGAATGCCTTTCTAACTCGTGGTTCACTGCACTTTCGCTTCTGAAGTATTTATTGGTCAAGGGATTGTCCGCAGATATCGTATGAAGCTTCTTCGCCCATTTGCTGCAGGAAAATGTTATATTCATAATCTATTCTAATGCTCCGTACACATGCCAAAAGCGCTAAATGCGCTTTGAAACTATAACTCGTTGTAAAGATCGTCATTGTCATACTTCAGAATTTAGTCTAGCTTAAAAAAGCATAGTTTGATGTAAGACCAATTTTTGACTACTTTCTGAAGCATCATACACATGAAAAATGTTATTGCAATATGAGGAGTCTGTACTCCATTGACTGTGGATTATTTTCTGTGGGGTACGTCAAATTGTTATCTATTATTATCTATCTCGATAAACCACATACAGCCGAAGCAGAAGTCGACATTGGTCAATTTACTGCAAATATATGTCTCCATATGCACTACAATATGAATCAGTCAGAGCAAAAACCTCGTAAGTCCATAATTTTAATTTTTTTGTAGACAACAGAAACTGTGTCACTGAAAAATAAATTAATTTTAAGGTACCTTTTGGGATCAATGTAGAATTTGAGTTCTACAAGATAGAAATTTCGAATAACCTTCACAGTTTATTATTAATTATAATAATAATGGCTTTAAAACCTGTTATGGTTTTATAGTACGTTGTTTTAGCAAGAAATATGGTATGTAACTTAAGCGAGAGAATCATATTGCTCATCACAGCACTCAAAAAAGTCTTCTTGTTCTATAGAGCATATATCAAAATCAACCATGAGAATTTAGGTAAAAAGTTAGCCTTATTTTTACTAATGCTTCTCACTCGGTATCTGTAAGTAAGTCGGGCTATAGTTGTAGTCACCGTACCATGGGCGGATCTTAATTTTCCTAACTGAGGGAAACCGATTCAAAATTATTTTTAATCGTGATACTCAAAAATCTTCTAATCTAGTACATAAACATGGGTATAATGTGACACGCCATTTGACGTTTTTTAACGCTGAAATAAAAAATACATACGAATTTACAATATAATACAAAATAACACATCTATTTGCTAACTTGATAGAACATTTAACATTGGATGTGGAATGTGACCAGCTTATGAGAGCTTTAGAAGAATCATCTCCGATATCAAAAATGTTCAAGTCTTCCTGGAGTGAAATGCCACTAAATAAATTACTGCTTGAGAAAAAAAATACGGTTTGATGATGATGATCTCAAATTCGAGATTTCAAATCTATGTCGCCTTAATAAACATCAAGCTTGTAACTTTCATATCTATCAAAATATTTTGCAATCTACATTAAGGTGCAAGCATAGAAAATTAAGAATTATAAATTTCCAGAATCCTTTCAATAAAAGTAAGAATTATTGGATTTCTTCATCAGATTCATCTGAAGTTTCTCGCAAGTAAATAATTATATTAGTCTCCTCCCTATTAAACACTTGATTCTTGTCCCAGTCGTTTTTAATCAAGTTCTCGGTATGTTTCACACAGTTGGCCCAGACTATAGGAGTCACCGCTAGAGCATCGCCTCAAACTTCCAAAACATCCTTGTGACCATAGCCATCTTCCCCAATATGACGATCATAGTACTGTTTGGTTATTCCCCAGACTAACTCAATAGTGTGGCAAGCGGGGAGCCGCTAAGCTTGATGTCCATTTTCATGTAATATTTCGTCTATGATATATCTTGGATCCCATGTTTTAATGGGTGATTCTTTTACTAGTATCTTTTTGGCAACACTGTTTTTGACAGATGACGCGTGAATCGTGTCTTGTGTCATTGTCAAACTTGTTCAGTTTGGTCTATAATTTAACCATGAATCGACTTACGAACGAACAACGCTTGCAAATTATTGAATTTTACTATCAAAATTCATGCTCGGTTAAGGGAGTGCATCGAGCAGTGCTTCCAATTTATGGGCAATTTGGTTGGCCTACTGTGGGAGCTATTCGGAAGCTTGTGACTAAATTTCGAACCCAGTTTACATTATTGGACATTAAACCACCAATACGCAGACGTAGAGTGAGGACTGAAGAAAATATTGCGGCTGTATCCGCCAGTGTTAGTGATGACCGTGAAATGTCGATTCGCCGCCGTTCGCAGCAATTGGGCCTCTGTTACTCCACTACGTGGAAAATTTTACGACAGGATTTGGGTGTAAAACCTTATAAGATACAGATGGTGCAAGAATTGAAGCCACACGACCTCCCACAACGTTTCTCATTTGGTGAATGGGCGCTGGCAAAGTTGGAGGAAGATCCACATTTTTATCGAAAAATTGTGTTCAGCGACGAAGCTCATTTCTGGTTGAGTGGGCACGTTAACAAGCAAAATTGCCGCATCTGGAGTGAAGACCAGCCAGAAGCATTGCAAGAGCTACCAATGCATCCCGAAAAAATCACTGTTTGGTGTGGATTATGGGCCGGTGGCATCATCGGGCCGTACTTCTTCAAAGACGACAATGGCCGGAACGTAACTGTGTATGGCGAGCGCTACTGTGCGATGAAAACAAACTTTTTTTTGCTCAAAATGGAAGAGCTGGACTTGGCTGACATGTGGTTTCAACAAGACGGTGCCACATGCCACACCGCACCCGAAACAATGGCCCTATTGAGAGGCGAGTTCGGTGAACAGTTTATCTCACGTTTGGGGCCCGTCAATTGGCCGCCTAGATCGTGTGATTTAACGCCGTTGGACTATTTCTTGTGGGGCCATGTTAAGGCTAATGTCTACAGAGATAAACCAGCAACGATTGACGCATTGGAAGCCAATATTGAAGCATTTATTCGTGAGATACCGGCCGATATGTTGGAGAGAGTGTGCCAAAATTGGACCTTGCGCATGGGCCATCTAAAGCGGAGCCGCGGCCAACATTTACATGAAATAATCTTTAAACATTAAATTATATCGACCGTTCTATCGACTCAAATAAAGATTTAATCGTTTTTTCATATTTTTTGTGTTGTTTTTTGAAAATCAAATCGTATACCTCTTAAAAAATCACCCGTTATTAAGGCGACATAGATTTTAAAGCTCAAGTTTGAAAGCATCATCAAAATGTATCTTTTTGTCTTGCAGCCATTGCTTTAATTGCATTTTACTCCAACTAAGCTTCTCACATAGTTATTTTTGGAAAGAATCTTCCCATGGAATCGTGACAGACAGTACTTTTTGATTCTGTAGCAAATAGCAATACAGTATCTCTCAAAAAACCGTTTTTAGTCCTCCATGGAGACCAACATACCGCTTGCCGGTACCCTGATGGCCACTTTTCAAACTCTTTACGTTTTTATCTTGCCTAACTCGTTTAAACGACCCTTTAGCAAGTATTCACGTTTCATCTAAGAAAACACACTGGAAAGGGCTTGTACTATTCAGGTTATTCGTATAATGTCTCATAAAATAGATACGTTTGGAAACAATGACTGATTTTTCACACAAGAGTCGGCGGTTGTCTTCTGTCTTGTAGAAAAAACCGCAAGCTTTCAATAGACGCCTTAAACTTGAATCCGGGGCGTTGTATATGTACCTTTTTTAAGCTCCTAATTGACCTAAGGTCGTGATATGCTGTCCTTTACTTCTCATGTCGTATAAAGTATTCCTAATTTTGTGAGTTTTCCCAGGTGTTACTATGGACAACCCTTTCTGATTTTCATCGCTAAACACTGCGCAGACTAATCTTCAGCGCGTCTGCTACTCTCTCCAGTACGCATGAAGTGGGTAACAGGAGACCGCTGTTTTCATTCTCTTCCTGGACATACTCTAATAAATTTAGCACGAGCCGTCGGCTTTCTCTATTGATCGTATTTTCGGGCATTGTACAATTTTATATTGAAGATTGATAACAGGACAACTCAAATTGCACGCCTATGACAAGTCAGTTGTCACTCTGACAAATATGATTGAACGACACTCACACGTAACGACATAGTTTTCGAGAGGGAAACACAACTAAAAAACGTATGTCTTTGAGCATATCGAACAAACGTTTACACACAGGGGTAGGTTGCATATGTATGTATGAGAGAGATGGAGATATATAGTCGTTCTTTGACCCTCCAAGAACGGTGACTACAACTATACTACCCAACTAAACTAGTATAAACGCTACTGAATGTCCCAAGTTTTAGCTTTAAGAAAATAAGCAATGTCTTAATTGAGTCTTACTCTAAGAGAGGAACATAGGTAATAATCCAAAGAATACAAATACAAAATAGCTGAGTAACAACCGTTACCAACTGTTAACTGCTAAAAGATTAGAAGTGGATTAACAGAAAAAATATATAAAGACATATGCTATTTGAAAACTTACGTGAACTTCTCAATGCCTGTAGATTGGTCATCGCTCGTTCGATGCAAACAGTTGGACTGGTGGGTTGGACTTGCAAAGGAAGATATACTGTTTCTTGTGCCCACAGTATATATACTGGGTCTTGCGATGCTGGACAAAACGGTAGACCTTCGCATATTGACCTTGTTTTAGTGACCTTCTTATAGACTAGCTTGTGACTAGTTTGTTGGGTAGACTGCGTGACAGTAGATGTCAACGTTTATCCATAGCAAGCATGATTCAAGTCATATCTTTGATGTCGTCTCTAATATGGTCTATACAGGGCGTTTAACGTGTGACTAATAAATTGAAGCTGACAAACCTAAAATTCCCAATGAATCTACTCTCTGACGTTAACTTATGTTTTTTCCCAATTTTAATCAATAATTAGCAATGATCTTACAACCTTATGATTCCTTTTCATTTCGCTGTTTCTATTGTTCCATTCCTGTAGCTCTGAAGATCATAATGTAGCTTATGGAACATTCGACAGTAAAGTTGCACACCTTACTTATTGTCACTCTACGCCACCGCTCCTGCCTAATACTTCTAGAAAATTACTAGTATGCCAAGCACAAGAAAAGCTTTGTAGTTTCTCGAAATCGTTTCAGTAGCGGCGGAGCTACGGACCAAAAACATCTAGAAATGTCCAAACTTCTTTTTTTGGCGCTTCAGAGATCCGGATCGCTTTTAAAGACTCTTTTTGGAATAAAATATTGGGTGGGGAAATGACATACATCCTGTATGTCATATTTTTGATGTTGGTATACTTATACGCCCTCCATCCGCGGTAATTCTACTGTACCTATAAGACAGATTTCATTCATCATGAAAATCTCCGTACATTCATCATAAACATTTGCAAGAATAAAACATTTTCGACGCTCGCGTGTCGATAACACGGGCTTTTCGGTCCGGACGATGCATGGTCGCATATTTTTTTCTTATGAGACGAGGATGGCCATCCATCGGTAAGTGATAGCTTTGTGTAAAAGCGTACCTACCTCCAAAAACCTTTTTAAAAAGCATATTTCCCAAGGGTCAACTCCAAAAGAGCCAGAAAATTGTACAGACAAGATGCTGAACTGTTCATTGACTTGATTCATTTAATTTTTTTGTTCTACATGTTCGTAGCTAAATTTTTTCTCGGAGGGGCTAACTTGTGGCGAACATAATCCTTTATAAACTGATGATAGCGTTGCATAGTCAACCTACTTGAGATCATCCCTTATTCAACGCCATTTTTTGTAGTTAGTACAGGTCATATGGCGTTAGGTTTACAAGGAATTTGTTTGACGACACCTTTTTTATTTTTTCTTTTTTATAATCAAATGAAAGAACTACACAAACACAACCAGACGAAATATGTGACAATAGTCTGTTTTGATACTATTAACATTAAGACATTTCCACCTATTACTAATTTGAAGACCTAGCGTAGCTCTCTCCTAGATATGCATAACTTCGTCCTTTGATTTATTTAATGATTCTTTGACAATGCCAATGCCAGCTTGGGTTGGCTTGACAATTCCACTTCTAGATGGAAGCCGAGTTCTTCTTAAGGAAAGGTTCCTATTACCTTCCTAGAGGAGGACCATGGCCATGGCCAAGAAAAGCGTCCCTCGATGTAGAAAGGCAAATAGGAGCGACAGACAATTGTACCACAAGTTCTACCCTAAATACCTAAATCGTTGATATTTGTACATTATCGCACGGAATAACATATTCTCCAAGAAGATGCCTAACCAAATGCTGTATTTGGACGTTCACTTACAATATCCAAAGTCACAGTAAAGTAAAAAAGTTTATTCTTATACATGATATCTAAGGAAAGCTCACATCTTAACCTCCCTCGTAATTATTATTTAGATTTCGTATTCTCAGATGTTTTCAACGACGGAGAAGGAAATCCCATAACATGCACCAACAGTCAGAGAGGTGTCAACGCTGAAACCTGTTAACGTCTGTCGTCATAGGCAAGGAAAAACTGTATAGTCAACCTATAACGAGAACTTGAAGGAAATATTTCTATTTCTATCTTTTGTAGATCATAGAATTTACTACCAAAAAAGTATTTTACGTCTTTTCAAAACCTTAGTGGTTCTTGGACGAAAGGTTAAAAACGTATCTACCTTTTCTCCATGTAAATTTATTTCACGTGGAGATAACATCATAGTCAGTATCTCTGGTCAGGAATATCTCTCATTTTTGAGTGAATCCACTTTTTTACATTTACGTAAAAGAACGTAAAATAAAAATATTTTTTTATAATTTGTGATGTTTTCACTATGATCAAGTAATTCACTCCAATCACTCATTTTCAAGACCAAGAGATAATAAATTATGCAAAAATATGACACTTTCCATACGCGTAGCAGCAAGAAAAATGGATTTACTATAAAATGCAATACGTGATCGTAGATAATGACTTATGGAATTCCGACGTGGAAACATGCTGAACGTTGAAACGTGGACAACGTATGTACAGTGGGGAGTATGCCACACGAATTTAACGCGTTTATCAGAATGGCCGGAAATGCTGCCTATCATGGCTTAAATTTGATCTTATCATTAGGAAACAGTAATTTAACGATACCACCAAAGAAATTTACTGTCGCCAAAACTGCTGGAAAAACGTACATATTTCGCAGTCTAGGTTGGTGAAGATGTTATGCCTATGGGCATTTTAACCACTAGGTGTCAAAGATGGTGGGAACCTTATGACACGCAAGATGGCAGCCTTGTACCACATTCATACACAGAATACATCGCGCTGTAAAGCAGACCAGGGGAATAAAAGTATTATTTTCGATAGCAGAACCAAGACAATGGTAGACAAATGCTTCCGATATGCGTTACTGCTTCTGCCGTCTCGGATCACCGGCGAGCGTACCAGTCTTGGTAAATGTTCTGGTCTTAGTGCCGTGCTGCCGCGTTGTGATGTCAGGTATAGGAGAAATGGGACGCTGCAGGATGGACTCGCGGTTGGGCAGAAAACGAATATCTATGGACAGTGATTATGAAGTGGTGTTGTTGCGTGGGAAGTGCAGAGTCAACGTACTTGACGCCATTTTAGTAGTGACGGTCGCATACATTGTTGGTAGCTCTCTTTGTGGGTTATGCATTACGTTTATGCGTATTGCATCGCTGGTAGAAAGGTAGAAAGGTACATATTTCCAAAAAAGCCGGTATACTCGTGTCAGTGCAAACTTGATGGGATCCGTAAGCCGTAAGTATTCATTGCATTACAATGTTACATGATAAGTGTAAATACATTGATTATAGGACAATTTCTCAAGTTTAGTTTGCCACGGAACAAACACAGTCAAAACTTATAGTCCAGGAAGTATATTCCCATCCGCTCGGATAAATATTCTGATTCGGTTTTTTTACATTATCTTATTGAAAAAGGCGTGCCATTGTATGCATGTTGCCAGTAGCAAAATTGCGTCAATAGTTGTAAACGTGCGTAGGGGCAGCGCTTACGCAGCAAACAAACCTTCAGCTTGACTAACAATGGACAAGTTTATAAGTTATATTTTTATTCCCTCTAAACGCGACGCATGACGTCACACTTCATTTTCCAGTTGCGACGGCCATGGCCGACTCAATTTCCTATACACACACCAAGGTAGAAAACACATACAACGGGAACACGTGGTAGACTTAACGTCTTCCGCGCCAATTTTGTGTAATTAGTTGACTGCATATAGGATGGGTTATAAGTGAAAAAACAAAAAAAAGTTATTATAAATACTGTATCGTTCCGAAATGTCCGATCATGAGGTAACAATTACAACCGCTAATAAACATTTTTTCTTCGTAAAATCACATGAAAATATCAGGGAGAAATGGTGCAAACTTATGAAGCGTGATTTAATTGGACCAAAAAGTACAACATATGTCTGTGAAGACCACTTTGATATGAGTATATCACTTTACTAGTTATTTATGATTATTAGATATTATAATTACTATTTCCAAGCTCACGTATTCACTGTACACTCGGCATTTGAGGGGGAAATATTTATAAACTAATATTACAGATCATTGATTTCAACTCAGTGAAAATAGCTGTGAGCTACTAAAGTGTCACTTACCTCCCTAAACAGGCGTCAGGTGGTTGACTCTGTACTGCATCATGTGCAGTGTTATTATATATTTTAATGGGATTTTAGAAAGGTAACACCTTTATTAAATTAGGTTACTTCAAACTTCGACTTCGAATGCCTTTTTGTTATTACAGATTGAGAATGATACTGAAAATCTTATAAAATATAAACTAGGAAGATTGAAGCTGAAAGTCGGAGTAAACCCTCATTAGTTTGACTGCCAAAAAGGTGTGCGGCCTTTAAGAGAATGCGGAGCATTTGAGAAAAGGCTTCGCCGCGCAGGACGCTAAGACGACTTGTTAAAGAACTCCACCTCAAGTTGGCAACCGTTCGAATTCATTCCGAGTGACACATAATACGAAGAATCGAAAGCACTAGAAGATCCAGTGCTTGAAGATTATACTCTGTAGCAGGTGACCATGACACAAAAATTAAACGCCAAAAGTTAATCTTGGATTTCTATGCTTGTATCTGTGAAGGTCTTATGAATTTTTCTTCGTTTACATTCATTAATGAGTCTATCGAAGAAGTTAGGATCCTCTACTACGTCTAAATTTAGGGAACTTCCACTTTCCTTATTTAAATATTTCGCTAAAATATTTAATACTACTGCCAACTTTAGATAGCCCGTTTCATTCAGTAACATTCTACTGAAGTAATTGCAGGTTCCTCGCTCCTTTTCAAAAGCCAGATCAAAAACGTTATTGTGTTTACATCCACCAAGCTTAGAAGCACAATTATGACACACAACAGTTTACATTGTTTCCTCACTTTTGTCACAGGCCAATGTACAGTGGTAAGGCGTAGTTTTCCACTTTATGTTCAGGTGTAGCTCTGCATTTTACAATGCATTTAGTACCTTTACGGTTCAACTGAACACAACCAATAGCATCTTCACGATACGAATCTCTACCTGCCCTGGAAAATATCGTGCCATATTTGCAAATCTGTACTCGAATTAGGCATCAACACTAATTTGTTTAAAACCTCAGTAGGGTATCGCACATTTTACAGCTAGTCGTGATATTGTAGGCATAAA